AGAGGAGGGGCAGAGAAGACTGGATCAAACAGCCTTTTTACACAATGCAGAGGATTAACCCCTTAGGTTCCACAGTGAGCATAATAAGCATGCTTTACTGCATATACAGACTGATTTTACTGTTGTGGGTTGTATGTTAACATAAAACATAAAACATGTACTTTTTAGACTTGCAACCCCAGATAGACACTTTGAGAATGTCCAAGCATGGTATGAAATGGAGGCTGTCCTTTCTGAACTGGTGTCAGTGCCAAGTTGGCTGAAAGACCAATTATTGCGTAAAGATCTTTGCCTGTGCCATGGAATTTACTGCCTGCACACTGGATATTTTATTTTCTGTGTCTTGTGCTCGGTATATCCAAGAATCTTTTGTTCGCATGACAGAACTTTATGGAAATTAATCTCAAGTTGGCTGCTTTTGAGACAGCATCCAACATATTTACATTACTATTCTTCATGTTTATTGTTCTGCAAATTTCTTCGGTAAAGGTCATAGATTTTGCGTACATATTGAGCACTGTTATTTGCTTCATAATATTACAGCTACATGCAGCTGATATTTGAAATTGTGACAGTCTTAAGTATTGCTTGCAATGATTGGGATGTGTGGGAATTAAATGTACACTTCGGTCACATTTAAAGCTCGGGTTACTTACAAGAAGCATAGTCTACCTGCTCAAAACTATGATTTTTATTTCCAGTCACTGTTGTTCAACAGGCCACCCTAGTTTCTTTTGTTGGCTATTTGGTGATCTGAGAACCCCTGACTTTAATGCAGGAAAGTAGGACCGGAGCAAAAAAAAGAGAGACGACATGACTAGGGGGAATAGATGGACAACAGAGGGTTAGAAGATGGGTAGGAAGTTTTTGGGATTATGGCTTACCTTATTGGATGGGGGATGTTGGGGAGGGTCTCACAGGGAGGAAAAGGAGTGTCTGACCTCAGGAAGCCCAGTGGGGGAAGTTGGAAGAAGAAGAGCTTCTCACCCTCCCTCGCCTTCATGCTTTGGTTTGGATTGTCATGGCGGCCTTGGCGTTGGTTGGTCTTTGGAGGAGGAAAGAATTCTGTAGGGAGACAGATTCGGGACCCATCAGTGGTATGGGGACCTTGGTACATTCCGGTTAACAAGGGGTTAACTTGGAATAGGTAAAATGGTGGTCACTGCGGATAAGTAGGGTTATCCCCGAGCTGGTGTGTTGCGGGTGGGGATAAGTAGGAATGGCCACAAGCCAGTGGGTTGTGGCTGGGGGCCTAAGTTGAATGTTTTCCGCTAAAGTAAAGTTGGGTTTATGTCCCTGAAATGGCCACCACGTTTTTCTTCTGTTTATAATTTGGAATGTTATGTTATTTATGTGGATATAATTTATTGGTTAATAAATGGCCATTTTCACTCAAAAAACTTGGTTTGTGTATTTTGTATAGCTGGAACGGTGGAGGGTTGACCTAGCATGCTTGGTTAAGTTGGAAGGCATATATTCTACCCTTGTAAATGTATTCCCAAACACACCCACTGCAGGCTCCTTGCTGTCCCTTAAAGCTGAACTCCAGGTTAAGCTTTAAAAACAACTTGGACAAATATTAGTATGCATATTACCTTAGGTACCACTGTGGAAGATTGTGGGCGGGGCTTAGGCACTAAGAACTGCGCTAACTCTAGGCAGGATTTTGCAGTCACGTCAGCATTAAGGCATACCTCCAGCCTTAGAAGTGAGCACCAAGAAACACAGTAAGCCCTCTACTTACCCATGGTTAACTTGTTATACTGTTAACACTAAACACTCCTGAGACTACCACAGCAAAGCAGGCCATACATGGGTCGAATCCCGAACAATTTTTCGTTCGAAAATCGAAAACAGCATTCATTCTGTAATCTGATGGTACCACCAATGATTTTGAAAATTGTTGTTTTTCACAAATTTTCCAGCATGGCCGATAAATGAAATGGGGAGGAACCATGAAAATCGGCCGGTGCCATTGCCCCACTAACAGAGCGAACATTGGCCGATTATTCTTAGGTCCGATTTTGGAACGAAAAATAGTTCGGAAATCGACCCATGTATGGCCGGCCTTAGAGAACACCACTTTCCCAGGTGCATATCATTTAGGAATCGGTACCGCACTCTCAGTGACATGTCCACAGTTACTAATGGATACAGGAAATGAACCTCACTCTGTAACTACATGCTTGCTTTCTCTCTCTTACTCAGGTCCCCCCTCTACATCTCTCCCATGACTCCCAGGCTAAGTCCCTAGGTACTCACAGGTGCGATTCCAAAATGTGAGAAACTGGTTGCTAGTGAAGGGGACAAGCACAACACCCCTTCACCACCAAAGTAACTATCACCCTATGCCAAGTGACCCATTCCCTGGCTGGTTGGCTGCTTTACGCAATGACACATGTACAGTTGTCCCTAGCAACATCAATATAGCCTACACTAGACAGAAAACTACATGCTGCACTAAATGTATTCTATCTACTCTACCCTACGGATCCCTGTTCTTTAGATACGCTATGTAATGCACCACTTAGAGAGACTTCAGACCAGGCATTTAACAGTCAACAGTAACTTTCCTGAAGAGAGACAACATACAGAAACAATTCTTGTAAAGCAATTTCTCACATGAAATCCTGTACAGTTGTCTAAGTGCCACATTAAGTGACTGCAATTTAGGCAAGTGGCAAGTCCATGAAAGCAATCATTTCAAAGCAAAAGTCCATTTAGGCAATAAATCCACAAAGAGCAGTTATAGTCCCTCTAGAGTCCATGATTGACAGTAATCCATAAAGACAATAAGTCCATAGCCATCAGCTAAGAGTTCATAAGAGTCCTCAAGTTCCCAGCCCCTCAGGAAATCCTGACTGCCCCCCTTCCACGATGGGGGCACCAACCAACAGAGTGACAGCCTACATCCTGGTAGTAGATCAGGCAGCTGTCTAGAGCATTTCAAAGAGTCCCTTTTATGTGGATCTCTAGAAAATTGCCAGGAAAATCTAGCCAATCAACTCCTCAGATCTACCACACATTTACATTGTAGCAATTTTAGTTGCAAAACAGCCAGATTGCTGCAGAACATGACTCAGCACAGAGAAAACATTAACCCTTATGTAGGAACTTGCTTACAAGCTGATTACTACAATGGTAGCTGTGAAATTGGGTCCCATGTCGTGCAGCCGTCCCACTGCACACTAACCACCAGGGATTGCTCACTTGGCAGTACTGAACACTTTTTTTCAACAAATTCAAGCTGTTTTCTGACTGGATGAGGTGGAAATCACAATGTCACAATGCCTCTCCTTCCCACCTCTTTTAATTAGAAAATGTCTTATATTAGCTTTATTAATCAACTTTAACTAAAAATAAAATAAAAAAATACACTCACTGGCCACTTTATCAGGTACACCTTGATAGTACTGGGTTGGAGCAACTTTTTTCCATTCAGAACTGCCTTAATTATTATGGCATAGATTCAACAAGGTGTTGGAAACATTCCTCAGAGATTTTGGTCCATATTGACATGAGTTACTGTTGCCTTTCTATCATCTTGAACCAGTCTGCCCATTCTTCTCTGACCTCTGTAAACCCTAGAGATGGTTGAGCGTGAAAATCCCAGTAGATCAGCAGTTTTTGAAATACTCAGACCAACCCATCTGGCACCAACAATCATGCCATGTTCAAAGTAACTTAAATCTCCTTTGAGGATTATTCTGATGCTCAGTTTGAATTCATCATGTCTAGATGCCTAAATGCATTGAGTTGCTGACATGTGATTGGCTGATTAGCAATTTGTGTTACCAAGCAAGTGAACAGGTGTACCTAATAAAGTGGCCAGTAAATGTATATATACAGAGACACAGAGATGAAGTAGCACAGTGGGAATATAGCCAGACCACATTCAATGACATAAATATTCATAACAGACATTAAAAAAGAAATTAAAACAAGGCTGCACTCGCCTCTATTGCCATAGCCACTGTGGTGTGCCTTACATTGGAGGTCAGTGGGAACAATGAACCTAACATTGTTGGTCAGTTGGAACAATGTTCCTTACATTGGTGGCCAATTGTAAAAATGTCTCTCTTACATTTGTGGTCAGTGGGGAAGAATGCCACTTACATTGCATGTCAGTGGAAAGCATGCCCCTTACATTGGTGGTCAGTGGGATGAATGTCTCCTTACATTGATTATCAGTGGGAAGAATGCACTTACATTGAATGTCAGTGGAAAGCATGCCCCTTACATTGGTGGTCAGTGGTAAGAATGCTGATTATATTGGTGGTCAATGTGCAGTATCCTCCTTACACTGGTGGTCATTGGTAAGAATGATTCTCACATTAGTGGTCAGTGGGAAGAATGCCCCCTTACATTGATGGTAAGTGGAAAGCATGCTGCTTACATTGGAAGTCAGTGGGAAAAATGTTCCTTATATTGGTGGTCATGGGGAAGAATGATTCTTACATTGATAGTCAGTGGTTAGAGTGTGCCTTAAATTGGTAGCCAGTAAGAAGAATTCCCCTTGCATTGAATGTCAGTGGAAAGAATTAGCCTAACATTGTTGGTCAGTTGGAAGAATGTTCCTTACACTGGTGGTCAATGGGAAAAATGCCCTCTTACATTGGTGGTCAGTAGGAAGAATGCTTCTCACATTGGTGGTCAGTGGGATGAATTTCTCCTTACATTGATTATCAGTGGGAAGAATGCCACTTATATTGAATGTCAGTAGAAAACATGTCCCTTACATTGGTGGTCCGTGGGAAAAATGTTCCTTACATTGGTGGTCAGTGCTAAGAATGTTCCTTGCATTGGTGGCCAGTGGAAAGAATGCCCCTTACATTGGTGGTCAGTGGGGAGAATGTTTCTCTCATTGGTGGTCACTGGGAAAAATACCCCTTACATTGGTGGTCAGTGGGAAGAATACCCCCTTGCATTGTTGGTCAATGGGAAGAATGCTTCATAAACTGGTTTTCAGTGGGAAGAATATTCCTTATAATGGTGGTCAGTGGGAAGAATGCTTCTCACAATGGTGGTCAGTGGGAAGAATACCCCTTACATTGGTGGTCAGTGGGAAGAATGCCCCCTTACATTGCTGGTCAGTGGGAAGAATGATACTTGCATTGGTGTTCAGTGGGAAGAATATTCCTTATAATGGTGGTCAGTGGGAAGAATGCTTCTCACAATGGTGGTCAGTGGGAAGAATACCCCTTACATTGGTGGTCAATGGGAAGAATGCCCCCTTACATTGCTGATCAGTGGGAAGAATGCTTTATAAGCTGGTGTTCAGTGGGAAGAATGTCCCTTATATTGGTGGACAAGGGGAAGAATGATCCTTAACTTGGTGGTCAGTGGGAAGAATGCCCTTTACATTGAAGATCAGTACAAAGAATGCTCCTTATAATGGAGGTCAGTGGGAAGAATGCTCCTCGCATTGGTGGTCATGGGGAAGAATGAATCTTACAATGGAGGTCAGTGGGAAGAATGCTCCTCACATTGGTGGTCATGGGGAAGAATGATTCTTACATTGGTGATAAGTGGGAAGAATGCTCCTCACATTGAAGGTCAGTAGGAAGCAGGGTGTGGACTTACCATTTGGAAACTCGGGCACTGCCCGAGGGCCCGGGGTCAGTAGGGGGCCCCATGAGATGCCCCTGGTAGGCTTTTTTGAGTTTGGGCAAGGACACAGGGGCCCCATGATCCCCTATTGCCTGGGGGATCATGAGTTGTCAGTCCGCCCCTGGTAGGAAGAATGCTCCTTACATTGAAGGTCGTGGGAAGGATGCTCCTTATATTGGAAGTCATTGAGAAGAATGCTCCCTGCATTGGTGGTCAGTGAGATGAATGACCCTTATAGTGGTGGTAAGAATGCTGGCTTTATAGACAGGAAAAAAAAATCACGTGTGTCATGCTGTTGGCTTTTCCAAGCAGTGCTGGATCTGCAAGCACCTCAGATGGGAGGTTGATTAGCCGTAGCTCAAAGAGCCTTTAGAAATCTGAGAAAGAACTCTAGGGTACCATGGAACCCTGATTTACAAAGGCTATATTAAATAATATTGCCTTAGGATTAATATGGTGTGAATGACTTTGAAAAAAAAAACTCTTCCATCACAGTCTTCTCACACAGGAGTTTTACTTTCCATTAGATTTATGCTTAAACAGTGTTGGTGTCACCTAATCACCTATACCACCTGATCATTGCATTGATTCGTAATAAGGAATCCCAACACAACAATACTTTAGAAATAAATCTATATTGTCTATATAATGTATGTGATGATAGGCTGGCTCTTCATACTGCAATGGTTAATAGTATAGATTCACTGGCATTATATGAAGGCACTTGAAGTGTTCTCCGTACACCGCTAGAGGGCTCACAATCAGGTTTCTCTTTCCATATAGAGATACAGACACATTTCTATACTGTTTGCAGAATTCAGGGATAGGCTGCTGCATTAGTGTAGATTACACAGACAAAGAAATTCACAGCTTTGTTTCAGCCTAGAAGAATGTAATGGAAGGTGGCATGTTCACCCTAAGAGGTCATCGAGCTTAGAAGTGAATAGAAGAAGCAGGACATGACTGTCATGTCAAGGAACGGTGGGATGTGCTGTGTTCAGGAGAGGAACATTTAAGCCATGTTAGGACTCTGGGGAAATTTGGGCACAAACTGGTGTCCATAGTGTAGACTTATCATCTTCTAATACAACTAAAATGTCTTCTCCTGAAATCATCACACTGTCCTATGAGATGTCCAATGAGCACTGAACACACCAATACAACTGGGTAATGACTTATTATCAACCAGAGGATCTCCTGCTGTTCTGAGTGTGTGAACACCTATTATATTTGTACTGTAAGGAGGACTCATACAATGGAATCATTACACCTGTGCGGGCAATGCTGTGTGGCTGCGCTTACAAATTACTGATAGAAAGTAGAAAAATAAAATGTGCTCATTCCTAGAAACATACACTGCTGTGTACTGACACCAGGACACTGCTGTGTACTGACACCAGGATACATGCACTGCTATGTACTGACACCAGGACACTGCTATGTACTGACACCTGGATACATGCACTGCTATGTACTGACACCAGGATACATACACTGCTAAGTACTGACACCAGGACACGGCTATGTACTGACACCTGGATACATACACTGCTATGTACTGACACCAGGACACTGCTATGTACTGACACCAGGACACTGCTATGTACTTTCACCTGGATACATGCACTACTATGTACTGACACCAGGACACTGCTATGTACTGACACCTGGATACATGCACTGCTATGTACTGACACCAGGATACATACACTGCTAAGTACTGACACCAGGACACGGCTATGTACTGACACCTGGATACATACACTGCTATGTACTGACACCAGGACACTGCTATGTACTGACACCAGGACACTGCTATGTACTTTCACCTGGATACATGCACTGCTATGTACTGACACCAGGACACTGCTATGTACTGACACCTGGATACATGCCCTGCTATATACTGACACCAGGACACTGCTATGTACTGACACCTGGATACATGCCCTGCTATATACTGACACCAGGGACACTGCTATGTACTGACACCAGGATACATACACTGCTATGTACTGACACCAGGACCCTGCTATGTACTGACACCAGGATACATACACAGCTATTTACTGACACCAGGACACTGCTATGTACTGACACCAGGATACATACACTGCTATGTACTGACACCGGGATACATGCACTGCTATGTACTGACACCAGGACACTGCTATGTACTGACACCAGGATACATACACTGCTATGTACTGACACCAGGATACATACACTGCTATGTACTGACACCAGGACACTGCTATGTACTGACACCAGGATACATACACTGCTATGTACTGACACCGGGATACATGCACTGCTATGTACTGACACCAGGACTTTGCTATGTACTGACACCTGGATACATACACTGCTATGTACTGACACAATGGGATACATGCACTGCTATGTACTGACACCTGGATACATGCACTGCTATGTACTGACACCAGGACACTGCTATGTACTGACACGAGGATACATACACTGCTATGTACTGACACCTGGATACATACACTGCTATATACTGACACCAGGACACTGCTATGTTCTGACACCAGGATACATACACTGCTATATACTGACACCAGGACACTGCTATGTTCTGACACTACAGGATACATGCACTACTATGTACTGACACCAGGACACTGCTATGTAGTGACACCAGGATACATACCATGCTATGTACTGACATTGCAATATATACACTGCTATGTACTGACACCGGGATACATACACTGCTATGTACTAACAATGGGAAATATGTACTGCTATGTTCTGACACCTGCATACATACCATGCTATGTACTGACATTGGGATACATATTATGTACTGACACCAGGAAACAAACACTACTATGTACTAATAATGGGAAATATATACTGCTATGTACTGACACCTACATACATACACTACAATGCACTGACACTGGTAAATATATACTGTTATGTACTGACACATGTATACATACATACAATGCTATGTAGCTGTGTACACACCGCACAGTACTAACTGTGTACACATCGCACAGCACTATCTGGGTACACATTGTACACTACTATCTGGGTATACACCGCCAGTACTAACTGTGTATACATCGCACACTACTATCTGGGTACACATCGCACAGCACTATCTGGGTACACATCGCACACACTACTATCTGGGTACACATTGCACACTACTATCTGGGTACACTATGCACAGTACTATCTGGGTACACATCGCACACTACTATCTGGATGCACATTGCACAGTACTATCTGGGTACACATCGCACAGTACTATCTGGGTACACATCGCACACTACTATCTGGGTACACATTGCACAGTACTATCTGGGTACACATCGCACACTACTATCTGGGTACACATTGCACAGTACTATCTGGGTATACACCGCACAGTACTATCTGGTGTACACATTGCACACTACTATCTGGGTACACATTGCACAGTACTATCTGTGTACACATCACACACTACTATCTGGGTACACATTGCACAGTACTATCTGGGTATACACTGCACACTACTATCTGGGTATACACTGCACACTACTATCTGGGTATACACTGCACACTACTATCTGGGTATACACTGCACACTACTATCTGGGTATACACTGCACACTACTATCTGGGTACACATTGCACACTACTATCTGGGTATACACTGCACACTACTATCTGGGTACACATTGTACACTACTATCTGAGTATACACTGCACACTACTATCTGGGTACACATTGCACACTACTATTGTGTATACACTGCACACTACTATCTGGGTACACACTGCACACTACTATCTGGGTACACATTGCACACTACTATCTGCGTACACATTGCACACTACTATCTGGGTACACATTGCACATTACTATCTGTGTACACATTGCACACTACTATCTGGGTACACATTGCACAGTACTATCTGGGTATACACTGCACACTACTATCTGGGTACACATTGCACACTACTATCTGGGTATACACTGCACACTACTATCTGGGTACACATTGCACACTACTATCTGTGTATACACTGCACACTACTATCTGGGTACACATTGCACACTACTATCTGGGTACACATTGCACACTACTATCTGTGTATACACTGCACACTACTATCTGGGTACACATTGCACACTACTATCTGGGTACACATTGCTCACACTACTATCTGGGTACACATTGCACACTACTATCTGGGTACACATCGCACACTACTATCTGGGTACACATCGCACACTACTATCTGGGAACACATCGCACACTACTATCTGGGTACACATCGCACACTACTATCTGGGGTATCTGGGTACACTGCACACTACTATCTGTGTATCTGGGTACACATCCGCACAGCATAGTACTATCTGGGTACACATTGCACACTACTATCTGGGTACACATTGCACAGTACTATCTGGGTACACATTGCACACTACTATCTGGGTACACATCGCACAGTACTATCTGGGTACACATTGCACACTACTATCTGGGTACACATTGCACACTACTATCTGGGTACACATCGCACAGTACTATCTGGGTACACATTGTTGCAATCTGAAAACCAACACACATTTTAAATAATCCCACTACTACTATACAAATGTATAGTTCACACAATGCCTATGGAGCCCATACACAGTGTGTTATTAGCACACCTTATATATTGGATTCCATGTATATTTCAGATTGTATTTCAGAATAATTATCATAGTGGATGACAAACCTAAAAAGCAGCTTTCAGTTATTAATCTCCAGTCTAGGATCCTATAGCTCAACCTCATTGACTAGGATCCTCCAGGGAAATGAAAGGGGCCAGGACAATGAGATGGGGCTGAAGGTCACATGGAGATTAGTATGGCTATTAAAATGCAATATTAGAGAAAGGGCCGCACTGTGGGGAGTTTAGTGCCAGTCACCTGATAGGAATTCCACCAAACACTACAGCATGACCGTGGTCACTTA